GAAACACAGAAGACCTGTTCAGCTGGTTGCTGGTTGCACTTACCATCCAAGTTTTTTTGGGATTCACAATGACTTAACCCATGACATTAGGAAGCAAAAACGAGATCCCTATTGCTCCCTCCTTTTAGGAAACAAATGCCATGTTCAGTAACCATTTCCCAACCTTTGCCACCCAGGTATGTTGACCCAGATATCCGCCAGGTTGCGAGTGGTTTGCTTCACGTAGGCCATAGGGATCTCGGAAACAGCGGGAAATCTTGGAGAGGTCTCTGCGCACGGATCGAACGAATTTCAAGAGCGGCTATCGAACTAAATATGCCGATCTGATCGTGATCAATCTGATGATGACGACACATGATGCAGTTTGTCAAGTCTAAATTGCTTTGCATTTATGGGGCCTCATTTATGAGTAGTGGACCGTCATTGTACCCTCCGGCAAGGGTGGGTTTTAAACCTTCTCCTTTACACAAACCGGGGAAGATGCCCTATGTTTAAACGTTTAAACACAGCAGTTACCAACAGCCGCTGGTTCATTGAACTGGACCTCTGGCTGAGCCCGGGGCAGGTGACAGCTCTTCACACGAACCGACGATGTTGGACAGTCTAGACCTCGCTCGCTGCAGCCACGACCATTGGATCCGCTCTCTTCGACTCCAAATAGATTGAGGGCCCAATCATAATTCTAGGCAAACTACAGGGGGTTCGTCGAATAAGGAACCATATGGTATTTTTAAATGGTAGAACATGGGTATACAACCTATTAATCACATGGAATAAACCTGAGGATTCAACAAATTCAGAAACCCAAGTGCCTGGATTATTGGCACCCGCTGGGTGTCGGTACCGGAACCTATGTATACTTAAATTTGTGTAACGGATATCAATCGATCCAGTTCGCACCAAAAGTTGGTCTTCCCCAGCCAATTGATCCTTGTCCATTTTACATCATTTTACCTTTTTGGCTAATTCAGGTCAGGTACGAAGAACAAAATATAGAAATCACCACAAATGTGATGTTCCCGCAAACCATCAGTCTATGTCACAGGTTCAACTAATAGTGTGCACCATGCAGAAAAAACAAATGATGTGTGCCACGGCTTCATGGTGAGGAAATCTGACTGGAGCAGATGCAATTCTTCCTATTGATCTGGGTAAATTATAATATTTCATTAAATTTATCCATTTATCCAGATCAATAGGAAGATCAATATCCATGACCTATCTTTCATTAAAATGAATTAAGGCCATTTGGGGATGATTTCAAAAATTCCCTGATTAACCATGATTCCAGGCTTCGGTCACGACGTGAGGTCGTGATGAAATTTACCCACAACTTGCTGCGACTCGGTCCATAGCCTGACGAAATGTACGTTAAAATTTACCCTCTGGTAAGCTAACATAACTATGGAAAATCACCATTTTTAATGGGAAAATCCACGTACTAAATGGCCATTTTCAATAGCTATGTTTGTTTACCAGAGGGTACCCAGATTGATGATCAAAAAGGAACAAGTATTTTTCTGTGCTTTGCACCGTTGAGAAGAAAGAAGTAGGCGAAAGCAACCAATGTGTGTCCGTCGGTAATTGATGGTTCAAGACCCTGGTATCCTGAAATTCACATCCCAGAAGAAAAGAATCGAATAAACGATTTGATCATGCTACCCCTTTTGTGTTTACCCTCCAAAAAAAGCAAGGCTTTTTTGACTTCCCCATGTCTAAAAAAGATGGATTTCGAAAAAAAATGAGGTTTTCGAAAAAAAAAAAAAAACATAGATTTCCCAAAAATTAGATTTCCCTTTAAAAAAAAACCATAGATTTCCCATGGTTTTCTCCCATGGTTTTCCGATGTTTTCGTTTCGAGATTCCCAGGTTTTCGTTTCCGCTCCACGCCGCTCCACTGGGCCGGCCACAAGGAGTTGGTCATCTGGAGCCGGTCGTCGTCGGGCAACTTCAGCCTGGTGACAATCGCCTCGGCCGGGGCCATTCGAAGTCGAAGTTTCGCCATATTTGAAGACAAACATTGGGAAAAAATTGGGAAAAATGGTGGTTTTATGTCATTTAATGGAAAACATGGGAAAAGTGGTGGTTTTATGTCATTTAATGGAAAAAAAAATGGAAAAATTGTGGTTTTATGTAATTTATAATGGGATTGGACCATGGAATTTCAAGGGATATCATATAGTAATACTATGGGACATGATAATCAAATGGAGGTGTCCCAATCCATAGGGGGGTACCCCTAACACATCTAAAGCATTGGACCATGACTTTGTATTGTTTAACCCATGGTGACTTGAGAATCCACCATTTTCGGAAACCTCCAAATGCATAGTAGCCTGATTACAGCAATCGATACCCCCCAAAACCTGAAGATTTCAACAAAGATTCGCCCTGACTTTAAGCAAAAACCTAACCATTATGGGGAGGGTCACCAAAATGTGGAGGGTTGGATCAAATTCCAATTTTAGATCATGTTGTCCCAAATTCGATGGCTAATCATCATTTAGATCTGTTATGTCCATTCTATCCCCCAGTGGGAAATCCCAACAGATGCATAATCCACATTTATCCCCTGGAAAAACCTCAATGGTATAGCCTCCTGTCACCGAGGCACCGTCAGCCGATGCAACACGAACAAAGGTGCCGAGACGCCCGCGGGGCGGTTCAGCACCTAAAAATGACCAACAAAAACTGGGAGAAAACTGGGTCACTTCTTGGACGACAATCAGAAATGGCGGTTCTTGGTATGATGACTTTGAGAAATCACCAAAACTAAAGATGTCATAAAGGCCCTGAGACTTCACCGCAACCCTCCAAGGGGAGTGTGATAATCTAAGGGCAGTACTAAACAACAAACCAGACTTACTAAGCCGTTGGCGGCGGCTAACTGGGACTGAAGCCACTCAGCGGTGAACTGCTGTCAGCTTATTTTCAGAGCAATTGCAACCCCATAATCAAAGACGGCCATGGCAAATCCTCCATGACTTCCCGTTTAACATGGATTTTTCATTTGTCCCCAATAAACCAGATGGTGTTTTTTTCCTGGTAATCAGCTCCATGGCTAGCCGAAAATCCATGAAAAATACTTCGATAGGAATTTTCCAGCTAATTAGAAGCCTCCATTTGAGCTGCGATCTACCCCTGCTTGATGATTATATAAGGGGATTACCCTCTGGTAATTTAACGTAGCTATGGAAAATCACCATTTTCAATGGGAAAATCCACTATTTCTATCACCATTTTCAATAGCGAACTGTTAAATTACCAGAGGGTATACTATACCCTTCATATATTGGGGATGATTTCATCCAACGAGGCCTCCGCAATCTCCACTTCTGTGAGGCCGCCGATTTCGGGGACCTGGCGATTTGCCATGGACCTGCCCTGAAAAATTGGATTTTCATGGGATTCAATGGTGAATTTATGGTGATTTTATGGTGATTTAATGGGATTTAATGGAAACTTGATAGTCATTGGATTGGTTTAAGGATTTTTTTCAGGAAAGCCCAAAATTCATGGGAAAAATCATGGTTTCCGGTTAAGATTTTCCCTCCAATCCAATGACACGAGAAGATTAGGTGTGTTTCCTGCGAGTGTTCACTACTGTTGGTCTAGGTCATGCCACCAACAAAAAGTTGCTTGCATGATGGTAAGAATTATGAGATCTAGGAAAAAAAACTTGGGTTTCAAGCGGTGGAACCGATGGTGGGTTCCCAATTTCTATGGCTTGAGACAGGCACTGAGAGAATATGATCTCCATCATCTCATCTCACCCATTTTGGTTAATGCCTCGTGCAGATCATATGAATCATCCCACCAAAACGCCCAAAAAAATGGGGCTTTGATGATAAACCCCCGTAAAAATCACATGGTTTTGTTAAGCCTTGAGTCATGATTCTACTAGCTCGGTGGTAACAAATCACCATCCCCATGCTGTGAATCATGTTTGTCAAAGCCCGGTGGTATCCAATTCTCGACGCTTCTGGTGAAACCATGAGGGTAATGTTTTTCCGAGTGACATTCCCATGAGATCCACTGATTGGTTGGGTCATACCCAATGGATACTACCATCTGGTTATGACATTCACAGTTCGCCATGGAAAATCCCAAAAAAATAGATATGGAGGTATTAATGCTGGGAAAAGCATCTATTTCTATGGGCCATCTATACCATGGCTATGTTAAATAACAAGAGTGTAATTAAAGCAACCAGCTACTACATGGCTTGATACTTTGAACAGTACCTCAAGTCACCACGGTTTAACCATGGTTAACCTAGGACCTAAGTTATGGTCTGACTTGGAGGATTTGGAGCCAAAAAAGACTTTTCGGAAACCTCCTGAATGGTGGTAACGGGTTTGATAGTGAACCCCTCTGAATCAAAGGCTTTTGTCAAGCCCTGAGTCGTGATAATCCCATGAGATGTTCTATGTGTTTTTTTCCGGGAGGCCCGAGGCTGGAGCACCTGAAAGATAACGTTTTAGTAATTTTCCATTATATCACCTATGAATCCCATGTATTTAATCCTCATGATCATCCATTGATATTATCCATTATGTAAGATTAATCCCATGATAATGATATTATCATCATTAATGTAATCATTATCATCCCACTATATATAAACATATATATATATATATATAATCCCATATATTATCACTTATATCCAAAAACACACACACACACGCATATATATATATATACATATATATATATATATACATATATATATACATATGTATATATATATACATATATATACATATATATATATTGAATCCTCATGATCATCCAAGAAAATAATATGGTATTTAACCCACAATCTCACATGGATATCATTTCTCATTATCCCATCATTTCTTATTATCCCACTAGATATATTCTAATCCCATCATCTTAGTGGTGCTTAGTAGGGAATGGGGGGAATGGGATGATTCTCACTGGTGATTATGGATCATTCCCTCATTCCCAAGCACCAGTAAATCATGATCGTCTCATCACAGCATTTCTGGACCCTTCCCGGCCTCATGTGCTTCATGATCCGGGCCCCGACTCTTCCGCAGCTGGCCCCGCAAGCTGCGCGGGTCGCTGTCGCGGCGCAGGTGCCAGAGCAGGGCCGCGGGGAACCTTGGTGAAACCGTAGAAAAAGAGGTGATTTCACAGTCAAAAAGGGTGGTTTAACATCGTTTCATCATGAAAAAAATGTGGTTTCACCGACCAAAAGGCTGGTTTCACTGTGATTTAAGCATCGGAAATACCACCAATCATTGGGGTTCGTAAGCCCAAAAACTATACATAGACTCATAGGGTCTCTACAAGAACCAGCTGACATTGGGCTCATCGATTCATTGATGAAATGGCGCAAATGATAGGGTTGGTATATTGCGTATCTGTCTGTTTGTCTATCTACCTACCTACCTACCTATCTATCTATCTATCCATCCATCCATTCATCCATCGATCTATCTATATATATCCATCTCAAAATGTGTATATATATATAATACTGTACATATATATATATATATATATATACTGTACATATATACTATCCTAATGATGGTCAAGGGGTGGCTTTATTGTGAGGAAAAGGATTGCAATGATGGACCTCAGTCCCACGATGATTTGGTATTTTTAACCAAATTTACAAGTGGCATACAAGCTTAGTGATTGGGTTCAACAACCCGAACACGGCACAGTAGCTGGTGGGCCGGCCCATGACAGAAACTTGGAATTGCAAAGAAACAACTCGGTGTGTGATCAGCAAAACGGGGATGGGGAGCTGACCAACACATATTGAGAGAATTATTATTAGCTGGAGCTTATTATATATTATCTATATTAGCTAATAATAATTATTTATTTACTAACCAATTAGTATTAAACTCCAGCTGGTACTTCACCACCAACTAATAAGTGTTAAATCCGTGAAGAACCTGGAGTTTAACCAACCTGGAGGATGCTTCGAGAAATCCACGTGACGCGGGAATCCAACGAGCCAACTCCATGAACTCGTCTCCTGAAGTCGCGCGAAAAAAATGGGACGTTGAGCGGAGGTGTTGGCGGATGAAGATCATGATTTCCATAAATCATAATGTGAAGCCATGGTAAAAATAGTAAAAATAAGGATATAATGTGTATGTGCATATATATATATATATTATTATATATATATATGTGTGTGTACTGGGTTTCACCAAAAAGAAACAAGTCCATAAACCATGCTATTGAGCCAAGAAGAATCATTTGACCAGCACACAAGTAGAGGTGAGAGAGGTGTGAACTAACAAGTCAAAATGGATTCAACCAAGAAAATGGTAATAGAAATCATCAAACATCTGTCATTGCAACCTTTATTCTTAGTTCTGGAACCCACTATAGAAATATGTGGTTCTATGGTTCATGATTGGTAATGATGATAGTGGTGATAAGGAATCTTACTGATTGATTGATGGTGACAGTGATGCTGTGATGCTGTTACTGATGGTGATAGTGCTCCTGATGGTAATGTTGATGGTGGTGATGGCTATGACGATGATGAAGATGAGAATAAGGATTACGATATTACGATGAAGAGGAGGATGGGGATGTGGACGGATGATGATAGATGAACATTCAAGAAAGATGAAGAAAGCAATTCTGGCAACAGTCGCACCCTTCGCATCAACATGTCACATGCGACAAATCCATATTGATCCTGTGATTCAGATTGGGAAAACCATAGGCCCAATAGCAAAAATCCCCCATGCTTTTTTCGTTACAAAAAAATGGATCAATTCCTCAGATCCTCAGTTTTTTCTTGGCAAAATTGTTCATATTTTTCTTTGTTGAACACTCCATTTAACGTCCCTATCTGTTTCATGCTGCCGGCTGCGCCGGCCAAGGCTCTTCGAAGCTTGTCGCCGTAGTTTTGGTACAAATTCCTGGCTGAAGTCGTAGGACACTTACCGTAAGGGAAACTTGTCCAAACAATCAAGGAGAACATCCCACTTTTTACAGCAAGTGTACCCTCTGGTAAACTAACATAGCTATTGAAAATGGCAATGTATAGTGGATTTTCCCATTAAAAATGGTGATTTCCATAGTTATGTTAGTTTACCAGAGGGTACCCTAGTGTAAATACAATGGTTAATCCATAAATATTGGTTAATCAATGGATCATCAACCAGCAAAGGATTTACAATTGCCATGTTTATACCCTCTTGTAATCAAACATGGCAATTGTAAATCCTTTCTAAATGTAGGTTCAATGAAAAAAAAAACTATAAATGGTTGATGATCCATTGCCATGTTTGATTACCGGAGGGTAGTGGGAAAATGGTGATTGCCCATGAGATTGTGTGACACCCTATTTTCAGAATCATTGGAGATTTCAACCATCACCAACTGGAGGTTAACTGACTATTGGCAAAAAAACACATATTTCGATGATCAATGGCTCATATTTCGGGGTAAATCCCCTTCCCCGACTTTTCGTACTTCAACGAGGTTTCTTTTTTTGCTGCTTCACTGCCATTGTCAGGTTGCTTAAATCCGAAGTTCCCCAGTTTGGGTGCAGCATCTGTTTATCCATCTACCCTCTGGTTATGACTAACATAGCCATGGAAAATGGATGAAAATGGCCCATAGAAATAGATGGTTTACCTATTGATAGCATGGTGATTTTCCGTGGCAAACTGTTAGTCATAACCAGATGGTAATTTAATGGGTATGACCCAACCGGATCTAATTAATGGAATTGGTTTTCGGTTTCACCATCTGGTTAGGTGGATTGGTTTCACAAAAAACATTCCCTTATTGATTGGTTTCACCCTAATTAATCATTAGAATAATTAGCCAATGGCTATTTTCACCAACCAATCAATTTAATGGGTATGACCCACCAATTAGCCATGGTATAACCTTATGTCCCCCGTTGTTCATCATGTGGCCCCCGCTCCGCTCCTGGAGATGTTCAGAATGTCGTCCCACAGGTCCCTGGCGCGAGCGAATCTGGTGCGCGACTGCAAGGCTCTGTACCTTGGATCCATAGATTCAGCAAAAAGGATGGCATTTCACCACGAAAAACGAGGATTTCAGAAAGATGTGCCGAATAAAAAAAGGAGTTGCCAAGGAAAATGGAGGATTTGACCAAGAGAGGATATGATTAAGAAAAAGTGCGATTTAATTGATTTTTAGTCAAGAAAAATGGGACGTTTTATGGAACTGAAATTTTCACCATGTTCTTGACAGCGCCACTTAACGCGGTTCGGGAGCTAATGGTAAAATATGGAAGCAAAATTGAACCAACTAATTGACTATAGAATTGGAAAAAATGGACTTCAGCCCCATGTTAATCGCAAGCCTTACAAGGACGATTACTCATTACGCATGGGACTTGATGGGCGGGGTCGCAGTTACAATCCAGCAGAGTTGTTGTGGGCTCCCAGCAGTTCCAAAAGTTCAGAGGGAGAAACTTCGAGCCATGTGGACTCGCCTGAAACTACTACTCATGCCCAAACTTGATCTTCAAAAATACCCTCTGGTAAACTAACAGTTCGCTATTGAAAATAGCCATAGTTAAATAGTGGATTTTCCCTTTAAAAAAATGGTGGCTCTGAAACCATCGTTTTTTGTTAACGTTTACCAGAGGGTATCTTGGGAGTAGAAAGACTTAGATAGCTGGTATCTGGGGTTGCAACCAGAGATGGTCCTAACAGATCCCGATATAAAACCCCAATAGAACCGATATTCCATTCATTCCCATTCTAATATCCGCTATCTATCTGTCTATCTATCTATCTATCTGTCTGTCTATCTATCTATATGTGATATTCGAATAACTGATATAATGTAGTCAATCCAACAAAATTCATGTCATTAGTCTCCGGATGATCCTGTTTGTTCGGTTTTACCCCCCCTTCTAACATAATCCTATGTAATATCTTATTTGGGACTAATCCACAATCCTTAAATTCTAAATACCTATACCTACATATAATAATCCTAGAAATAATCCCAGTATGTAATATGTTAATCCCCTTGCCCCGGGCACAACTTATATATAAAGTCCAAAAAAAAGAATGCTGAAAAATGTAGATCATGTATTCAAAATATTCGGATTTATCTATATTTTCACTATATAACTATAGACTATATACTTATTATAGGATTTATAACCATTTACATACAGTAATTTTATACTTTTTATGGTATCTATACCTATACTTATTTATACTTCTATCTGTATGTTCACTATATTTATAACCATTTAGATCCCAATCCTACCACCCATAGATTCCGCCAAGCCAGAGGCACGCCAGCAGCAAACCCAAGGCCACGAAGCCGAAAGTGAAGGGCTCCCCGGGCAGCGTCAAATCCGGGGCTCCTGGATATGGAACGAGACGCGCTGAGCTCAGCTGGGTGGATGGAGAGTTTCCGGATGTTTCCCCAAGAATCTGGGATGCTTATCCCAGATTATACTGTATACATATATGTATGTATACACATTTGTATGTGCATATACTCAGGTATAGATGTAATATGTACAATTATTGGTTTTTGGATTACATGTCGGTATTTGGTGCATGGTTCCTTCGTCCACTGAACTGTTGGGAAGACGGATGGTTTCCTCAAGTCTTGTCGGAAGTTCCGTGAATCACCGCGACACCCGGATCCTCTCGGAACTGCATAGTCATCATAGAACAATGCCGCCTTAAGGGCCGCAGAGTCTCGGGTTGTGGCCAGCGTCACAAAAAATGGAATCCCGAAGCCGGATGGATGAAGCCATCCAGGTCACACATCCTTTGCAAAATCACATGATTTTACCACTCCAGTTAGATTGAAATTCCTCTTGACATCTGGAGGATTGAGTTTGGATGTCCAAAATATGAATATCTTTGGCCGTACTTTGGTGACTTTCACATGAATTGCCAGTGGTTGTTCTTCTTGATCATGGGTGTAGTCCACATACACAATCAAAACCATGTCTTTTCCATGATGTGTGTACACCAAAAAAATCTGATCCCCCAGGAACCTCACTGTCCAATGCCAAGATGCGGCTGACACCAGATTCAAAAGCAGAAGCTGGCCTTGCAACCTGCGATGCGGGTCGCGATGCGATGCGATGCGCTGCGGTGCAGATCTTCTGGGTACTCATCATGGACCTGTGAAGATGTTTGGAGTATGTTGAGTGTAGCATATGTATATATATATATATGTATATACCTAAAGATAGAGAGAGAGAGAGAGATTTCTTGATGTTTCTTGAACATCCTCATGGTTTCTTCCAGGTACCATTTTTTGGAGGCTGCCTGCCATCCAAGTGTTTTCCAGTGGCCTCTGCAGAACATCCAAGCCAGTCACGGCTTTCACCAAATCCACATAACGGCCATCTTGTTGGGTGTCCTCCCATTCCTGGCGCCACATAAATCGACGAAAAATCCTGACCTAAATTCTGAGGGCTCAGACCTATTTTTTCACGCGTAGATTTCACTAGATCGCACCAAAAAATATGAACTGTTCAACCAAGAAAAACCTTGGAAGCAATTTTTCACAACTGGGATTTGCAACAACAAATGGCAGTGTGTCAAAACCTTGTACCCCTTCTGTTCACATCAAAATAGCTGGGTTAAAATGGATGTTCATCCCACTAAAAATGGTATTTTCATAGGTATTGATCCATAGCCAAATAAATGAGGCCTCCAAGCTTGACACAAACATTCGGGATGTCCCTGGCGCCCACCCTCCCATCGTTCCAGCATAAAAAAGGCGCCGAGGTGCTTGAAATCCAAAGGGCTTCGAGGCGCCGCTGTTTTGGCCTTCGTTTCCAGCAAGCTGGGACCCTGGGATGGTTAGCTTCTGATGAAAGCTGTTACCCTCTGGTAAACTGTCCCAGAAAACTATGGAAAGATCCACCATTTTTAATGGGAAAATCCACTATAAATGGCCATTTTCAATAGCTATGTTAAATTACCAGAGGGTAATGAAAACAAGATACCATCTGGTTATGACTAACATAGCCATGGTATAGATGGTTCATAGAAATAGATGATTTTCCCAGCAAAAAAATACCTCCATTTATTTGGGGGATTTTCCATGGCGAACTGTTAGTCATAACCAGATGGTAGCCATTTTCGAGGCACAGACATATCATCAGCAAAGACGATATGTATGTGAACTGAGTCAGTCATCTTTTTTCTCCACCCCCAAGGAGGAAAGAGAAGATGGGTCGCTGGGTCGCACTAGGATTTACCCCCAATAATCTTGCGGACAAAAATCGAGACGATTGCTAATCATCAAAGCGCCCAAAAATTGGGTAGCAATATCCAATATTCAAGAGAATTAAGCGATATACCTTAATTATTCATCTATGCCCAAATTTTACCCAAAAAATGAGCAGTAACCATTCAAGCAACAGCTTCAGATCAATAGGAGCTAGTGGATTTACCCACTACCGTGTGCATATCATCAGGATAGTCCAAGAACCCCCGAAAATAGTAAGTGGTTTGTGTGTGCAACTTAAGTACCTCTAGAATTCCAAATGATCGGCCAATGATTGAACTCTTTGTGGGTACAGTTGGTGAATCTATGCTTAGCTGGCTTGGCTTGCTGCTATGTAATTTTGTGAAGCCTACATTGTTTTGCCTACTTCAAGCAGCTATGGCGACTAGATTGGAACACCAGTGGTCAGTGGATCTAGGCCATCCGCACGCAAACGTCCACCCCGGGCCCCGCGGGTTCCGCGGGTCCCCGCGCACCTGTTTGGAGAATGAAGCGATAGAGCACCATGGGCGAGATCACCAACAGCAGGTCCAAAAACCTGAGAGTGAAAAACCACTAGCAATGCTAGCGACGCCCCCCGCCATTGCGGTGACCCCAACAAGGTATGGACCCATAGGAGGCTGTGAGGCTTGGGAGCAAATCAAGTGTTGAATTTCAGATCCCAAAACTTACTGGTGCTTGGTAGGGAATGGGGGAATGGGATGATTATTAATAGTCATGGATTGGATCATTTCCCCATTCCCCACGTTTAGGACCAGAAAATCAAAAATGAATCACTTGGTTTAAGAGTTTCAGGGTATTCCCAGCTCCATAAGGCAGTGATTTGTTCTGTATGTGCTTGGACCAGGAAGGGAAAAAAAGTCAAGAGGCATGTCTTGTCTGTATGTGTACATATTCGTATCCCTTTTCTATGTGCACTGGTCTGTCCACGAAGCACATCCGTGAGTGCATTGAGCATCGCTGAGAATAAGTCATGATTGGATCAAACTACACCAAAAAGACCTTCAGCTCAGGTAGCACAAAACAATCATACCCGTGCAGGTCAAGCGAGGTGTACAGGTATTTATCAACAGTATGTATCTATAATATGTATAAATACATGTGGATATACTGTATGTGATGTGTATATATATATATATATCCACATGTATATTATGTAACATTGATGTACAAAGGCGCGTGTGCAATTGCATGTACAAATCTGCAATTCTCACATGCAAGGTCCTACGCACATAAAAATGGCAAAAGCAAATAACAAGAAAATGGCTTGTCTGCAAACGGGGTACAGTACCCCAAAACCTCATGCATTGTCCTCATCTTTTGCATGAAAACAGCCCCTAGCCATTCTGCCATATCCCCACTCATTCTGCCATATCCCCACTTTCAGACAACACACATTTCATAGTGTTAGTTGTATACGTATCCCACTCTTCCCCCATTCTACCCCCATTTATCCCCAGTGTAACCCCACTATACCCCTATCATATCCCCATTTTATCCCCATTATATCCACCCCATACCACGCAACAGGTTCAGGTCCTCCGATGTTGCGCCGGCAATACCCAGTGCTTTGCTGGTAAGATGTCCGGAACGATGTGCCTGTGACGACTTCATGATGTTGAGATAGTCAAGTGATAAACCTCACCAGCCTCACCCACATGTTTTTTGCATGTATGTATGGCAACCCCAAAATAGATAGCAAACTTAGAAACCTGGAAATATGCGAAAAATATCACCCTAAATATGCATCCTGGTGGCACACAACTATCGGCATCGTTTTGGGAATTGCTATGCACACAGACTTACATATATACCTGTGCGATTCTGATATGTGAATATATATATATATAGAGATATATAGATATGTGTGTGTGTGTCTCGGCGTAGGAGTCTAAATGTCTACATCTCTCTGTATGTGTTTAAAACAAGTCAAAGCCTCACAGTTTGGTTCAAACGCAGCTGAAACATGCTCCATTTCATCATGGATAATGATCACTTCCATGATGATTTCACTTTAGTTGAAAGTTTACGAGGATAAGATATGTATACTCCAGATAAATCATCATGGAAAGATCATAGTGGAATATCTGTTAAACTGTTAAACTATATCATCAGGATTTAACTTCGTTTCCAATATTCAAAACTCCAGATATAGTATAACTCAGTATAACATAGTCATCTTTTACTAAGTAAAGAATCTTCTTTTCCAACATATTTCACTGAGCAAAGATGACCCCAGATCTTCGGTCACCTGGAAGGCCGGCCAAGTTGATCCAACCAACACCTTGGAGCGAGGCAGATGCTTTTCTTTACTGCTTGGTGGTAGACCTACCCCTCTGAATAATGATGGAGTTCGTCAGTTGGGATGATGAAATTCCCAATATGATGGCCAAACCAGCAAGAAGTGGGAGAGTTGAAGGGACCTCTGACGTTTTTCCGAATCATTTCCAGAAAGGGGATACAACCTTTACAAGACCCTCGAATTGAGCTTTTTTTGCACATGCCGAATCTATATTTAACCATCCCAAATCAAAACATAATCATAATCTGGACAAGTGGTGAGAAATCGCGATTGATAAAGCCCAGGTGGTCATCATTTCGTTGCTGTTCCCTCCATTTCTGCAGATAAAAACAATCTTTTGGTAGGTTCTAATCCCTGTTTTTACAAGAATTCCCCAGCAACCCCCAGCCCTTGAAGTGGGAGCAAAAACGCGGTGAAAAAGAGCTTGGTCACCTTACAGAGGGGCCATGGCAACGCGTATGATTCTACCACCAGGCAGAGGAGGGATGATTTTGTGGCGCCAAGCAGCTGGAGCATCGGTCGGTGGAGCTCGGGTGGTTTTGAGCATCAAGAAACTCCAGGTAGTACCACACAAGGGACACATTGAAATGCCAATCAACCTGGGCTAAGCGAAGCATCATCTCAGATGGAGTTGGGGATGATAATAGGGCCCACCAAATGGATGGCGCAAGAACAATTTGTTCCTCCTAATACTAAACACCACCCAATCAAAATCCGGTTTGGAATCAGACCTATTCATTTTCGGGCCGAACTTTGGGGGGATATTAAGTATTAAATCTGATCGTGGTGAGGATTACTCCAATACAAGTAGCATGGTGCACAGCAGCGCGTTGATAAGATCGTTGATCATCCCCATCATCGAAAGTGGTCAGTAACTAGTAACCCTGACCCACATCATCCTCGCGCCCATTTAAGGAAATCATCCACATCATCCACCAACATCGAGGCTAGAGGTGATGTTTTTTCAAAGTGGGACATTTACCAACAGGGAAAAATGGATGAGACACCTCAGCATTAATCCCCCAATGATCGAGGCACAAGAGTGTCAACATCCGGGAAGGAACCTGGTAGCGTTCCAGGTGAGGAATAAAAATGCATGGAAGTGCCCACTAGTTCCAAACCATATATTGGTTGGAAATGGTTTGCGCGTGACCTGCTGAAGTGTCATCCTCCCAGTGTCATCATTTTCCGGTCAACAAACCATCAAACTAATGGCGAACGCAAGAAAAATCCAGAGGCAACTGATATATGACTATGACAGCTTTCTTTTGCAGAGACCTGTTTGAAAGCACGAGTTCGACATGTTTCACTCTTCTACTAAGGGCGCGGCAGAACGTTTCCGCAACAGCATCTTTTCAGCTGCAATCAATCCGGATGCAATTTCACTATTTGTGGTTTCCTGTTTGATCCAAAAAACAGCTACACCGAGCGCTTGCGAAGCATGCAGGAGAAGAAAACATGTACTTCACCAGTATAAAAAGAGGACAGAGGATTTTGAACATTGCAATCGTCCAAAACAAGTAGAAATTGCAGGAGTCTGAGGAAACCACCAACAGCACACGTGCAACACAAGATTCTCTGTCGACTGAAGTGTGAAAGTGTGTCAACGAAATTGATCGCCGGACCACTTCTGTGAGAATTAACATGGCTACAAATTGTTGCAAACAATTATGTGAACAGAGACACATGGAACACTAATTGGAAACTAAGACAGAACAATCGAACAAAGGTTTTGGAAATGATTGCTGATTACGTCTGATTACTGTAGTTCACTTGCTACGTGTTTGCAGCTCCTGCCCTTGGTTCTTTTTGGTGGTTCAATATCATCTGCACATGCTCCCAAGCTAGCCTTGACGCGGAGAATCTGCATGGCGACGCGCTCTGAAATGGGATATATATCGTCAATATGGAGTTCAGCGGTCCAAATATACAGTATATCAGTATATCATGAAAATATCAACTAACAATATCTATAATGATCGTCTCATGGTCCAAATAGAAATCAAAGAGTTTGCAATCGCCAGATCTCAGCAAATATACAGTACATGGAAAATCACAAAACGTCGCAACTTCAAGCATGAATGCCTTTTGGTTATCGACATCTCTGAGTCTGAGCGAGCGAAACGGCTGAGATACACATGAGACCCAAATCAACATTCCAAAGATCAAAGATGTGTTCTTCCGTGGTTTGTCTAAAACTCGCATGGCCCATTCCATACACTGGTTAATGTTTTCAAACGGCCCACTCCCTTGGGGGCCGATGACCCGTTCTCTGACACGCATCTGGCCGACAGGAAAAAACCTCTTGCCACCACCGGAGTCCCGTAGGGTAATTTGTGAGTGTTGAACTTTGACTCTGCATGTATATCTTGACAGCAATGGGTATGTACACGGATTTCTTCCAAAGCATCAAATGGAGAAACCAATGATGCATGTTCTGTGGTATCTGCTAGCCCAGAAACACAAGGTCGGTAGTGCCTCCCAAACAAGCAATGAAAGTAACTAAAAGCAACCATTTTTTGGTCATTGCTTTGCTTCTGATTCACGATAGCTTGGGGTTCATATCACGGCATTTGGCATGTTTGGACAATCCCTGCAAGGTGGTGCCCCAGTTCGGAATCGCTAAGTTGGTGCAAATAACTCCAATAACTAGGTTTTCTCTTGTGTATATGTATGTAATATATATATATACTGTATATATATATAGATATATACTGTATATATATATATATATATATGTGAATATAAATATATACATAGTTACTATGGTATTTTTACACCAAACATAACTTGATATCTCATGAGATATCTCAGGGGTTTATGAACCATCTTCTACACCAGGTGGGGCACCACCAGGTGGACCTCTACACCGTGTCTGTCTGTTTCTGTGGTCCTTTTTCCTTTGCGTCCATTGCTGCATCTTACACCGCCTGGAGTCGCACAAAAGTTGTGATGTTCTTTAAGACGCTTGTCATGTGACTGTCGAAAGTCAGAAAACATACCCTGCAGTCCAAAAAAAAAACATAGATATGGAAAATCCATGGCTTTTTGAAGGAAATTGATCTACATTCATGGTGAATTTCCCACATCAATGTTTGCTTACAGGAGGGTATCCATGAAAATAACAGGTCAATGCTCAATCAGAACAACTTTTTGGTGCAGATAAGTAGCAACCAGATATGTCCACCGGTCGGATTGGGGGATTCTGACTAGAATCAGAAGACATGTACCTATTACAATCACAATTTTTTATGGACTTCTATGAATACATCCCTGGTCCTTGACAAATTATTCCATACATGCAATGTGTTTTGACCCAATAAATCAGTATAAACCATCCCATTAACCAACCATTTGGGGTTCAGTTTGCACCATCCCAAATAGGAAACCCAATCATAGACCATTGGGAACGGCCCCCAAAAAAATGAACAGCTCCCTCTCAATTTGGACCTCCGGGAGCCGAATAAAATCTCGGCGGCCAAACCAACTAGACATAGTGATGTAAAAGAAGATATATATATATATATTTAGTCTAACTGTAAGTCTATGTATGATATCTAACTGGACATCGTGTATATGATGACATCTAACTAGAACATAAGATGCATATCCCAAAATCTGACATATGATTCACATGATATACATATTATGATATATTGTGTACATGGCTTCCATCTATCTGGGTGCAACTTCGGATTTCAGAACATGCCCAAAGATTGCTTGCCAGTTCTAGTCATGGTCATTGTCGCTTATGTACATACATAGATACGGACTACATAGCAATAACACACTTGTTGGCTATGTATATATGTTTATTTGTTTCAGTTTGTTTCTGTGTATTTACATATGTACTACTGTGTGGTATCTTGTGCAGTTCCCATTTTGGGTTCCTTAGCCACCCCTGTCTGTGCCTGGCTCACTGGCAGGTCACTGTGTCTTTCCGATGGTCCTCATCAAAATCCAAGGTCTCTCGCGGAAACTTTGCATGCTTGCCTGGATTATGCATTATCATTATTATTCTCATTCTCATTCTCATTCTCATCATCATCATCATCATCATCAACATCAACATTGTCGTCATTATTGATTTGCTGCATGCTGAACCTGTATTGTTTGCAACGGTTTTGGCTACCATCAACCCATCAGAAATCTACTCTTTTCACATGCCTCCACTCTTTTACTTGCCCAGGTCTAGATGTCTGAATCAACAATGTACCCAGAACCAGAAATCAATGGATTGGTTTCAGCTTTGAGCATAAAATCTACACTAGGGACCTGGTGTTACCATCCAAGTATGGCCGGGAACCCATGCCGTTCCTTGAGATCCAATTGGTCTTGTCTCCTGGATCGGAGAGCACTCCCTGCTCATCTGTCACCGGGCCGGTTTGAAGGTATCTGGCCAAAACCAAACATCGTATTTGGATAGATTATTGGACAATCATACACAATGATTAGGAGAATATGTTTTGGACAAAATCTTTAAACGACAACCACATATTCGATACCATTCAAATCATTGGGATACTGAACAATCGGACTGTTTCTGGTCTACACATACATAATTACATATAATAAACTTACTAATGGTGACGTGCAATATTCGCTGAAACAGGGGAGGCCCAAAATAACAAATCAATGGGGTTTTAATATGGACATCAATTATTTTGGGATGATTTTGAGGTCCCCCATGGCTCATGAAATCAGAACATTTTCCAGAATTAACAATCACCGAACAAGCATATTGCGTTGATACGCCTCAAATTGTCTTGAACTGCCTTGTACATTGCATGCCTCGCTCCAACCGTGTTTGGCCTTTCTATCCAAAGAGTTTCTTCCAAACAGCCTCTGGTTCTGTCCAGCCTCGCACAGAAACAGCAGCCCAAAATGATCAGCTGGATACCTGGAGGTCTTTGACACCCTTGCACTTGGCTGCACTTTGTTGGTACAGACTGCACTTTGTTGTGGTTAACTGGTGCACAAATGCTTCTCCATACATCTTGGTTCACCAGATTGTTCGGGAACATCTCCGCCCTGCTGCTCAAGGCACTCTCATCTCCTGTACTTTTCGGGGATTTGAAACCTATAGCCCGGTGTAGCAAACCAAACCTGTTTCAAGCATGTGGAGGTTTCCAATCCATGGGTGTACCCCAAACCATCCAAGTCCTTAGACCATGACTTACTATTGCAACCCATGGTGACTTGGGGATCCCGCATTTTACGAGACCCAAATATTCTCAAGTGAAAAAATCAGACAGATCTGGGATCCGTGCCGCATCTTCGGCTCGGCTTCCTCAGGAATTCCTCGGGCAAAGACTTCGAGGAGCCAGGGGAAGACATCTAATGGGTTTCTGAAGTCAAGGGCGATCCTCAAGTCACCATGGACTTCAATACTAAGTCCTGATCTAATGACTTTGATTTGATTGCACCCCCATGGATTGGAAACCTCCAAATGTGGCCAAAAATATCCAAAAAATATCCAATCGGTCAGAAAATTGTAGAACTTTACAACCAATGTGTACAACCGGAAAACAATCCGAAATGAATCAGGGCATTTTGGCTGCTGGTTGACCCGGAGGCCAAAACACACCAAAAATGATTTTAAACCTCCATTTTAATGGGATTCAATGGGATTCTATGGTGATTTGATGGAAACTTGATAGTTAATGGATGAAAAGTTTATGATTTTTGTTGGTTGCTTGGGATTGGTTTAAATGAAAATCTTAACCGGAAACCATGGATTTCCCATTTAAAAAATCCCTTGAACCAATCCATTGATTACAAGTTATGAACTATGAATTATCAATATGAAACTGGTGCAACAATGCACCATTGAGTTGGGAGGAAATTGTCGCAAAAGAAATTTCAAAACTTGGTCAGTGGGTTGGGTCTCTGATCGAAAACTACATTTTCACCATACCCAAACATTGGCCTGCCAGCTGTGCTCTGGACACTGGTATGTGGCATCATGTAGCTACACATTGGTGTTTCCATGTGAGCAGCTGGGCTATCCAAAAAATCCCTCGTGATTCTTGGCCCATCGAACTCCTATGGCTATGCTCTGAGGTTTCGACTGCCGGGAAGCTTCGTAGGGAATATAAATTGGCCCATTGTGACAGCAATGAGAGCACAAATTTCGAAACTCACAATTTGACACTTCAATGCAACTTCCAAATGAGTCAAGCAAGAAAAACTGTCGATGGCTGCTGATGAGCTGAGAGACTGGAAACAAGTCCCGATTGAAATTCCCGATTGAAATTGAAGTCAATATGCCCTACCTAATTACAATCATGGCAACCAACCATCAGCCCAGATCCGGTGATCACGTGCGGAATGTTGCAGCAGCTGTGCCCTTCAGCGATCACCCCACATTTCAAGTCGTTTTTCTGGAATGCTTCTCCTCTCAATTCCTACCGGACCTACTCTTTCCTCTCAGAACGCGTGCAGCATGGGACAGGGCTTGCTGCCCCTCAGGCGTTTCCGTCCCAGAGCGCAGTTCTGCAGTGAAATTTGTCTCGGAATTGCATATACACTGCACGCGAAAGAGCGATGGTAACATCGCTTACCCTAATACGCGCGTTCTCCATCAAAGCCCTCTCTTGTTTGTTGAAGCGAAGGTTCTCCCGGATTCGTTTCATTGATGGAGGCAATTTCTTGGCTATCTCACGCACTTCAGGATCGTCACGAAAGACCTTGGTTGCTGATTGTTCAGCCTGATAGTCATTGATGGACCACTTTCCTTCAAAACGTTGCCCATTCAATGCGCACGCTGTGAGTGTGGCCTTCACTTCATTGCCCTTGCGTTCATACGAAAAATTCCAATGAAGTCCTTTGGAAGACGGCAGCTTCCCGTTGGCTTCAGTGCTCTCCAAAGGAGAGTACCTCTGGAAGAAGGCGGCCAATAGTGGAATTCCCAGCGTATGTGTATCCAGGTTCAGACCAATGTGCTTACTCACGGAACTTGCCACCTTCTTCGGTTTGAATCGATGAAACTCATGATAAGGTGCAAGATCCTCTACACCAGCTGTCTGTGCGACGGCAGGGTCAAGGGGCGACTCTTGTGGCACCTCTTCCGACTCTTGGGGCCTCTCTTCATCTTCACTTTTGACAGGCGAAGGCTGGGAAAGCTCAACTCTGCGCCTCTTGGCTGACATGGTGACAGACTCAGAAACGGCCTACGTGACGAGTTGATGATCTCGCTACTTGTCAAAAAAAAACCTGACAGCGAACCTTTATCAGGTGATCTTCTTTGTGAAAAGAATGCAGACGTGCAAAGTGATTGTATAAAAGATAACTAAAGGCCGATATTGCACGATGTGCCATGGAAGAACAAAAGGGCGGTTCTGAGCCGTTCGCTACAAGAAACACAAGGCGGCGTTGATCTCAAAGGATGAAGTCTCGCACCTTTCACTGTTTTTTCATAGTTTTTCTTATGACTGGTTTGGTCCAACGGTTTGGTTTCCTTTTTCGATCATTTTGAGGAAAGCTCCCCAAGAGCCGCACCTAGGTGTCTCGGAACAACTCCCATCACCTCAGGGGCATCCCAACAGGTTGGATCCAGTCGTCAAGAGAAAGTTGATATCAACATTGAAATCAGCATTTCGACCAACCTACATCCTCTGGTGATTTACCAGTTTGCCATGGAAAATCACCATTGTTAGTAGGTAAAAACCATCTACAAAAAGGACCATGTTTTTCTATACCAAACTGTTAAAGTGTACCAGAGGGTATCGACGATGGCACAAGTCTTGGAACAAGGGCGAAACGCTGGGTTTTGGGAGTATCAAATGGTTTGGGAAAGTGGGAACCACGTATCTAAACCAAAAATTTGAAGTGTGTTTGAGCTGCTGCTGGATTGGGAATACATAGGACATAGGTATACATAGAAATACTATGGTTGTACATCTAGGGAATACCCTTTGACACTCTGAGACTTCGGACTTTTGAACAAAGCGCAAGACCTGGAACACTGGAACATCTCATCCACGATGAGATCTTCACCTGTCACTGGTGGCTCTGGTTTGTTACTGGGGTGTATCCTGATAAATCCCAGTTAAAGGAGGTCAGAAGCCACTTACAAACCAATTGATTCTGACAACATCTGCTTCTGGATAATCCCAAGTTGGGTTTGTTAAATCATATGGAAATCCCATGAAAATCCCATTACCTAAATTCGCATGAAATCCCAGGGAATTCTCATTGAAATACCATCGATGTCCCTGCATTTAGGTGGCAGTTTATGAATTTCTTGGTGGGCATTGTGTTTTTTTCCTGTCCAACTAGCCAAATAGCTTGGATGGTCACTTGACATGACGACTGGCCCCAAAGTATGAAAAAATTGGAAAAAGGACTTGAACAAAACATAACAAAACCCTTGCATTTGACACACGTAGACTCCAAGGTTGGTACCGGGAATTGCTGCCAGGACTTACACCCTAGGCTCCCGAACCCCTGGAACACATCAACAACCGGAAAGCCGTTTGCAAATCACTTGGCCTGGCAGCCATGTGACTCAGTTCCAAATGGGCAAATGCCGCACATCAAACTGCAACCAGTGTTTAAAACCCTCTGCCGTCATGCCTTGGCACACAGTGTCAGCAAGTGCTTTGGCAGTGTGGTTTCTTGAAATCGGTTCATCACTCGGCTCCATGTGACCTGTCCTAAATCCTTCGATACGGGTCACTGGTACCAAAGAATGTACGAGAGCTGAAACATCACTTGTCATCTGCCTGCGATCGCTTCCCGATTCCATGGCAGGCAAAAAGGTTTTGCGCTAAGAAAAACAGAAATGGTGTACGCATCTAAACAGAAATGGGGTGACCCAAGTGGCATACAAATTCCTGTATCGCAAAAGGTCACCGCATTGTTCTTCAATTTTCGGTGCCTTCGATGGGTTGATCCACTTGCAAGATTTGATCCGGTTTGTGTGGTTGCCCGCTAGTTTCGGACGTTGAGGATCAACAATGTTGACATATGTTTAAAAGTAACCTGAAACTGCAAAATATTTCATCTATATCCCATTGAACCTCCATTTCCATTTCCATCCCATTAGATCACCACTGTGCTTGGTTATAACCCCCGTATGCTTGTTGGTTGAATCCCTACATTCACCATTACTGCTTAAATCATCTGAAATCTCTATATAATGAAAACCGGCCACATTAAGCCGCAATGCTCTGTTTTGTTTGAGGTCGTCAGACATTCATTGTTTTACCCTTTTCTGTTATTGGGCAAACCACCGGGTCTGTAAAAAAAATGTATCTATGTAAGTCGCATCCACCAAATCCCACGCAGCCCTTCGATCCACGATCCCTGCAGCACCTCGACGTGCGTTGGCATTGCAAACACCATGTCCTGAAGGAAGTTTGCGGGATATCAATGGAATTGAATATGGCCCGCCCCAAAAAAACAGTGCAGGGGCAAAGGGGGCCGAAGCGTGGGTTTCCGACGTTGCGCTGTGACGCTCCCGGGGGCGGGTGGCGCTGCGACGCTGCGACGCTCCGGGGGGCGGGTGGCGCTGCGACGCTGCGACGCTGCGACGCTGCCGTTGGGCCAGTGACGCTGCGACGCTGTTGGCGCTGCGACGCTGCGACGCTGGAGTGACGCTGCGACGCTGTTGGCGCTGCGACGCTGCGACGCGGGAGCGACGCTGCGACGCTGTTGGCGCTGCGACGCTGCGACGCTGCGTCGCGGGAGCGACGCTGCGACGCTGTTGGCGCTGCGACGCTGCGACGCGGGAGCGACGCGGGAGCGACGCTGCGACGCTGTTGGCGCTGCGACGCTGCGACGCGGGAGCGACGCGGGAGCGACGCTGCGACGCTGTTGGCGCTGCGAAGCTTCCTTCTGCAAGAGTGCACACGGCCTTGCGTCGCGGCGCGACACGGAAACCCCCATTGAAGATCGTCCATGAATGTAGAAGTTTAACGGGGCTGGGAGAATTAAACCCTCATTGAAGATCGTCAGTGAATGTAGAAGTTTAACGGGGCTGGGAGAATTAAACCCTCATTGAAGATCTTCGATGAATGTAGAAGTTTAACGGGGCTGGGAGAATTAAACTCTCATTGAAGATCGTCAATGAATGTAGAAGTTTAACGGGGCTCGGGAGAATTAAACCCTCATTGAAGATCGTCCATGAATGTAGAAGTTTAACGGGGCTGGGGGAATTAAACCCTCATTGAAGATCGTCAATGAATGTAGAAGTTTAACGGGGCTGGGGAGAATTAAACCCTCATTGAAGATCGTCCATGAATGTAGAAGTTAAACGGGGCTGGGACAATTAAACCCTCGTTGAAGATCGTCAGTGAATGTAGAAGTTTAACGGGGGTGGGGAGAATTAAACCCTCATTGAAGATCGTCAATGAATGTAGAAGTCTGACGGGGCTGGCGAGAATTAAAACCTCATTGAAGATCGTCCATGAATGTAGAAGTTTAACGGGGCTGGGGAGAATTAAACCCTCATTGAAGATCGTCCAGGAATGTAGAAGTTAAACGGGGCTCGGGAGAATTAAACCCTCATTGAAGATCGTCCATGAATGTAGAAGTTTAACGGGGCTGGGAAGAATTAAACCCTCATTGAAGATCGTCCATGAATGTAGAAGTTTAACGGGGGTGGGGAGAATTAAACCCTCATTGAAGATCGTCCATGAATGTAGAAGTTTAACGGGGCTGGGGAGAATTAAACCCTCATTGAAGATCGGCCATGAATGTAGAAGTTAAACGGGGCTGGGAGAATTAAACCCTCATTGAAGATCGTCAATGAATGTAGAAGTTTAACGGGGCTGGGGAGAATTAAACCCTCATTGAAGATCGTCAATGAATGTAGAAGTTTAACGGGGGCTGGGAGAATTAAACCCTCATTGAAGACCTTCAATGAATGTAGAAATTTAACGGGGCTGGGGGAATTAAACCCTTTTTGAAGATCTTCAATGAATGTAGAAGTTTAACGGGGCTGTGGAGAATTAAACCCTTATTGAAGATCTTCAATGAATGTAGAAGTTTAACGGGGCTGGGGAGAATTAAACCCTCATTGAAGATCGTCAATGAATGTAGAAGTTTAACGGGGCTGGGGAGAATTAAACCCTCATTGAAGATCTTCAATGAATGTAGAAGTTTAACGGGGCTGGGGAGAATTGAACCCTCATTGACGATCTTCAATGAATGCAGAAGTTTAACGGGGCTGGGAGAATTAAACCCTCATTGAAGATCTTCGATGAATGCAGAAGTTTAACGGGGCTGGTAGAATTAATCCCTCATTGAAGATCGTCAATGAGTGTAGAAGTTTAACGGGGGTGGGGAGAATTAAACCCTCATTGAAGATCTTCAATGAATGTAGAAGTTTAACGGGGCTGGGAGAGTTAAACCCTCATTGAAGATCTTCGATGAATGTAGAAGTTTGAAGGGGCTGGGAGAATTAAACCCTCATTGAAGACCTTCAATGAATGTAGAAGTTTAACGGGGCTGGGAGAATTAAACCCTCATTGAAGATCGTCAATGAATGTAGAAGTTTAACGAGGCTGGGAGAATTAAACCCTCATTGAAGATCGTCAATGAATGTAGAAGTTTAACGGGGCTGGGAGAATTAAACCCTCATTGAAGATCTTCGATGAATGTAGAAGTTTGAAGGGGCTGGGAGAATTAAACCCTCATTGAAGATCTTCAATGAATGTAGAAGTTTAACGGGGCTGGGAGAAGTTAAAACCATCATGAAGATCGTCATGAATGTAGAAGTTTAGGGGGCGACGGGCGGTAGTGTTCAAGAGGGGTCGATGGCTTCTTGATCTCGAAGATGCAAACATATATTCAAAGGGGGTGGCGGGCTGATGTTCTCAAGGTGCAACGTATTGTTCAGAGGGGGTTGGGGAGTGATGTCTTGTGTGGTGAAGAGAAAAGAGTGTTCAGAGGGGGTTCAAGGCTTACGTATCAGCTTGTCCGGTGGCTTCTCGGCTTCTCGCTTGTCCCGGTGGCTTCTCGGATTCTCGGCTTCTCGGCTTGCCCGGCGGCTTCTCGGCTTGCCCGGCGGCTTCTCGGCTTCTCGGCTTCGCGGCTTGCCCGGCGGCTTCTCGGCTTCTCGGCTTCGCGGCTTCTCGGCTTCGCGGCTTGCCCGGCGGCTCCTCGGCTTCGCGGCTTCTCGGCTTCTCGGCTTGTCCGGTGGCTTCTCGGCTTGTCCGGTGGCTTCTCGGCTTCTCGGCTTCTGGTCGCATTTCTGGGCCCCTTTTGCCCGTGCTTTGCAAAAAAAGATTTTACGGTGGCATCAATAGGACAAGTGACAATTTTTTTGATAATTGAATTAATTGAATTATTGACTGGGAATAATTAGGAAGACATTAATTGGGACTACTTAATATGGCTGGATCGAAATCGCCTAAGCCATTAGATAGGGAAGCCACCGCACTCAATTTACTCAATGGGTGATCCCATCGAGCCAGCCATGTTTACGAAAGCGAAAGAAATTGCAGTTACTGAATCTATCTTAATGGAACTGTTCGACTGGGATAATTGGGATATATTATATTGGGATGATTCATTGGGATTTACTGGGATATACATGGAAAATGGGATGTAAGCAATGTAAGCCAGTGGTTCAATTGAGAGAAGATTTGTTGGGAAGAGGTAGGCCTACCGGACCAGTCTGCGGCCAGACAAGCAAACCTCCGAACACAGGGGCATAGTATCATACAGGTTGGCTGATGAAATTGCCTTAAAAAAGACCCTTTCAGTGGGAGGTTAGTGTATTCAGGTAGAAAGCGCCCGTTAAACCAATACAACTGACAAGTGAAAGTGGTACTAACGGATATTTACTGTTTGAGCCAGTGCTGCATGCAGCGCATATATTTGAAACATAATGTCTAACAGTCAGCTCCTGTTGCGTATCCTGCCCACAATGCGGCTCTCACTAATTTGGGCTCGTTGTGACTTTCCTGCTTGCCTCTCTTTTGGGCGTTGCACACGTGCACAAAACTAGGTCCTTCAGCGCAGAACCACTCTGTGAAACAGTGCGCTAACCACTGAAAAGGGCCGCATAGGCTTCACTTAGTGCATGCCAACTCTGTTGCACCCGGTAGATAGCCTGATTCGCTTCATGTATCAAATCATTGTGTTGCTGCTGCAGAAGGTGTATGCCTTCACTTAAGTGGAAGATTCTGTCCGCATCACTGGAACTGTTGGGGAATCTCCCAGCAATGGCATCACGGCAGACTTGGGATGTGCGGAAATCAAAACTGGACCGATCGTCTTCGTGCACAGCACTGTTGATCCTAGCCTGATCCCTGAGTGCAATTCCTTCTGACAGGGGAGCATATACTTCTATGCGGTTCCCTAACAAGTTGTAGGCATGCATGATGTCTGCGATGATGGCACATTGCTGGGCACTTCGAGCCACTATAGCGAAACGGCGTGAGTTCGCCCAACAGGCATAACCATGGTGGCGACTTTCAGCTGCAAAGGGGTAGAACCCTCGTCCACCTACTTCCAACCAGACCTGCAGGTATTCTTCATCTGTTTCATTGATAAGAACTTTGTGAAAACCATGCGGTAAGCGGGCCCGTGTCAGGTCAGGACATTCGCATCTTGTGGGACCAGGCTTCATCGCCGGCCCATAAAATATTCCACTTCTCCATGTGAACCCATACCCACGCTTCCAGGAGATTGAAAGGCACGCACCGGATTGCAGTATCTTTGCAGTAACGGTGCATGGGGAAATTGCCACGATGCAGGCACATCATGGTACTGTACAAGAAACAAATTGGGACGCACAGAGAGAAAAAGCATGTGTTAACGCTTACGATCATGCTAGTGTGTCGCAAATCTGCTTGCAAAACATCTGCGGGCAGCAGCAAAATCTTCCGATGGCTGGCCCCACTTTTGGGTCCAAATCTGGACCCCAAAACGGGGCCCAAGCAAAGACCTAAAAGAAGGAATGAAAATGTGATCCAATTCTGGACCCCATTTTGGGGTCCATATTTGGACCCAAAAATAGGGTCAGCCATCGGAGAATTTCGTTGCTGCCCGCAAATGTTTTGCAAGCAAATTTGCGACCCAGCAGCCTAAACATGAATGTCAACACATACCTTTTTCTCTTTGTTCCCAAGGCCGCTTGCTACTGTCGAGGTCCCTCTATCGCAGCCATGTTTTGAACACTTTTTTCGGCCCTGTTTTAGGGGCCATGATGAAGCAGGTTTGTTGGCATTCGAGGCGCTCCGAGGCTCACCGAGGCCTGCCCGAGGCCCGAGGCCAGGCCTCTGACGCAAAACGTAATGGCACGAGGACAAAGCGAGGCTCACGGGGACTCGAATCTATATAATACACGTCAAGACTGAATGATCTGAAAACAAAAAACGCTGGCGATGATCAGCAGCCAAGATATCCATTGCTTTTATGAAAGCCTGCAGTCCAAAATGTGGACACATGCCCCGTGTGGGACCTTAACTTCAAAGCACATGCATATTTTCGTCCCTCGATATGTTCCGTTTCTCTTGCGAAATAAAGAAGATACCATGTGGCCGCCATGGCCTCACCTCCATGTGATCCTGCATTTTTTCTCCCGTTAGTTTTTGCGCGGGCAGCGCAGAACCCCCACACCCCCGGCGGCAATGCTACTGGTGGAACGCTGTAAAGAAGCATATGACACCTTCAGTCCATCTCACACTGACGCAGCATTGCCGCTGGGGAGCGGGGCGTATTCAACAGATCTCTTAAAGCGGCAGGCCCAATATTTCAAAAGCTTAAGCCCGTGGCAGGCGCAGTGCTTTGGCAGCTAACAACGCCGTCGCAGGCACAATATTTCAGAAGCAAACATGGCCACATCACAGCTTAAACCCTTGGCAAGCGCAGCATTTCAGAAGTAAACAACCACACATCTCAACCTGTGGCAAATATTGCAAACAAACATGGCCACCTCACAACTTAAACCCTGACACCTGCGGTACTTGACAAACAAACATGGCCACCTCACAGCTTAACCTGGACAGCTTACACGCTGGCAGGCGCAGTAATTCAGAAGCTAACATGGCCATTACACAGCGTAAACCCTGGCAGGGGCAGTTTTTGACAAGCAAACATGGCCACCTCACAGCTTAGCCCGTGGCAAGTATTTGACAAACAAACGTGGCCACCTCACAGCTTCAGCCGTGGCAGGCTTTAAGCTGTGGGGTGGCCATGTTTCCTTTTGAAATACTGCGCCTGCCAAGGTTTGTGCACAGAAACCTGCCGCGTAGTGCTACAACTGGCGGCACTACACGCTCACCCTCTGTGATTTTGGCGCGACGCAGAGCGCAAATACTGCGCCTGCCAGTAAGATCGGCACTAAACGCTTCGCACTGTGGTAAAACAGCGATTTTTAGCTGCGACCGTTTGGGCGTGTAGTACCCCACTAAACGCTCCGCGCTGTGGCCGGAGACACATTTTCGCCGTTTCCTGGCGTTCGGTTGCAATTATTATGAAGAGTTCAGTTGAAACAACCAAACCACGACAAACCACACTCTAAGTTGGATGTCCTTTCGGGGGAAACACGTGCAGGCACCCAAAGTCCCACAAACGTTTTCATGTCGGGGCAAGCTCAAGAGAGCAGCTCAAGGGCCCTTTGGCCAAGTTGAACCAATGGCGGCGTACAGCGGCATGTAGTTGTCACCTGGCCAGGGCTTCTGTAGCGGCTTGACGGCGTCAAATTCACATTGGAGGAAAAGAGTTGGTCAAAAACAAGCTTGTTGCTTGCAACCAATTGCTTCATTTCAGCGGTAAATGAATCCGTTCAGCCAGTAGTTGTCGGCACGAAAAGTTTCAGTCCGCTGTTGCACATGGAAAATTGCATTGCATTCATCGGCAGGAAAATTCCAGTCTGCCGGGTATATGTAAAAATTGTATTTTGCAAACTGTTGTTTGTAAGGATGGGAAATGTTCCAGTCCATCCAAAAAGGCTTTCGGATGGGAAATGTTCCAGTCCATCCCTTCTGAGTGGGAATTATTCCAGTCCACTCAGCGCCAACCGTGCTGATACTGATCCATCTCGGCAACTTCCTTCTCACGTCTTTCTTCACATTCCTTGCAGACATACATAGTGATGGGTCGTGCATGCATCAGTGTGTCGCAGTCATCGAAGAGGTGGAAGCGATGTGCCTTGTTGAGGGCGTAGACCTCTCTGCGGAACTCGATCTCGTGGTCGTGGAGCTCGCGCATGTTTGCATTTGCTTGGTTTGCTCGATCCAAAGAATCTTGAACCTGGTAAATCTGTCGTTCCAGTTCAATCACTTCTTGAATCTTTGCCGTCAAGGTTTGTTCAACGTCTTGAAGTCGTACTTTGAGAGTTTTGAGTTCACTTAAGAACTTGTCGGCATCCTCCTTGTTTGTGTCGCTTGTATCTTTCATCACCTGTGCATAGCTTTCCAGTGTTTCAATCTCCCTTTTGAAGCTGTCTTCCAGTCTTGCCTTGTCTTCTTGTTCAAGGTGTAGCTGGTAGGACATGTGAGACATCTCCTCGTACTCGATCTCGCATTGGACGCTCTTGGTTGCGCTTGGCAAGGTGGAAGGCCACGCGCTTTGGTTCCTGTTGGAGAATCTTCGGAAATCCAAGCAGCATCCAAACACAAAAACATCCAGTGAGGAAAGACATCATCATAGTCACAAATAGGCGCATTGCATCATCGGACCATGAGGCTTCATCAGAGGAAAAACCAGTGACCGGCATGATGTGAGAAATGAAAATCAAATGAGCTAAACCACCTATCTTGCTAGCAGCTTTTGAGAGGGCAAACTTGCGGGCATTTGCTTCTCGTTGCTGTTGAGTTTTCTTCTTTGCAGCAACAAAATCTTCATCCGCTTGCAATTTGAACATGTGAGTTCTAAGGCGGTCAGTGAGCAACTGACGTGCTGAGGGTTTGGTCATGCCATCAGCATACTGTGCTTCACTTGAAACCCATCGCAAAAGTGTTTGGCACTCTTGCATCTTTTCTTTCACAATCATCACCTCAATCTTGGTTCGTTTGTCACCTGAAAGCTGGGGAACTTCTGCACGAATTGAATCATACAGAGCTTTTGCATCAACCACCAAAGCTGTTTTGCTGATCACCCATTCACCTGGAGATTGCAGAGTGTAGTCAGCATTGAGACATCCTTGGATCAGTGTTCGGGTGTATTCCAAACTATCCATAGCAGCTGCGCATGCTTGAGATTCAGCGTTCAAAGAGCTTCGGGACACCCTGGGCAAACGAAAACTTCTCCAATCCAAAATGATGTAGTTTGTGGTTTCACCATCCAGGATTTCTTTCGGAGCAAGCATGAGACATGAGAAGGTAACCACCTTGGCTGTGGCCTTCACGTCGAATTCCCCATGAGGCATCGCTCATTGCAACCAAAACCATATTTGAAATTTCACCTAAAGGACGAAATTGGAGTCCAACATCGTTGTTGACCTTGGAGAATTTCAGAGCTTTGTTTGCATCACGCAAGTCTTCTGTTGTAGCAGCTGTGATCTGACCACTGAGGAGAGAAACTGTTGCACCAAGTTGCGGGGCTGTTTGCGTGCTGGGCCATTGAAGCGCACCAAGCACCGCTCGGAGAGCACTAACCTCATTCTGTGTGGCCATTGCTGAGTGTCGACGCTTCGGGTCGATGGTGATCGGCTTGATCTTGCTAAAGTAGTCAGGCTGTCCAAGTTGATAACCAAAGGAAGTTTTCACAAACGAACATCCACAAAAATCAAGCTTCTCACGTTCATCAATGTGAGTCCAGTGTTTGAAATTGAACTTTTCACGCAACAACTTCTTGGCTGAATTGTAGCAGGCATTGTGAGGGTCGCCACTAATCAGCATGTCATCTACGTGTAATCCAACCAAACAACATAAATTTCCTTCAGCATCATGCAGTCTGAACAAACAACCATCCAGTTTGTGCTGGGTAAATCCAACTTCTTCCAGTCGTCGTCTGGCGACTTGGTACCAGGCTCTTGGAGCATCTGCCTGGCCATAGATGGGCTTGAGGAGGCGCATCAAGGAGTTGGGTTTGATGTTCAGCAACGTGCAAGCATCTCTGGGGAGTTTGCACCATAATTCACGGGCTTGTTGGTCTCCCTGCAGAAAGGCTGTAGCCACATCGGCACATAGAAACTCCCATTGGTTCAAAACACCAATGGACAGCAGTACCTGTCTTGACGTTCTGTTCAAGGTTGGAGAGCTTGTCTCAAGGCTACCAGATAGCAAGTCGGGATCGGAGTATCCCTGCAGCACAAGTCTAGCTTTGGCTTTTGTGCCACCTTTACCATCATCTGCCCATTTGAGAACAAAACGTGCTTTCAAAATGCGACTTTCTGATGCTTTCTCAGGCTCAAGTTCAAGTTGCCAAACTCTATTCTCAAAAATTGATTGCAGCTCGGCCTTCTTTGCTGTCATGAAGGTGAGGCGGTCTTCAACTGTCATGCGGGATTCTTTCAAATCAGCCTCGTTGTCCTTCTTCTTTTTCAAAGGGCGAGTTGCAGCCATCCAGACTTCAGAGGGTGAGTTTTGCATGGAGCCGGAAGTGGACTTACTGATCTTCTTCTTGAGATTTATGTATGGCATCTTGAGCTTTTGGGCAGCTTCTTTGGTGAGAGGAAACAACGTTTTTCCAAAGAAACCATCCTTGCTAATCTTTCGCTCGGCAGCAGCAACAGAGTCAACCATCATAGTTGAGGCACCTTCACGCATTGTGATTTTCAGGGCTTGCAAGTCTCCCAACTTAATGGGGACATCTTTGATGGCATCGGCAGTTGGTCTCCATGAGGAGTCACGTGCAATGACATGATTTCGGACCAGGAAACCTTCTTCAACTGAACAAAAGTCTTGGGTCTTGCCAAGGACAAAGGAGTTGGAGACTTCATCATAGGTCCAACCATCAGGCAACATGTCACCTGCAAACTTGTTGTGCTCACCATTGGAACTGTAAAAACCAACTTCGACACTATTGTAGATCCTTTGGCGTTTCTGCTCAGAGTCATTCTTTGGCTCATCCAAGGGTCTTCTCTGACGCTGGAAGTTTCTGAGCCAGGCCATTTCTCCTTGATCCATGTTGCGGCGTCTTTGTTGGAAATTGGTGTTGCCACTGTCAGCAGGCAAAGTGTTAACTGCTGCAGCTGGCTGGTCATCGTTGGCAGGCAAAGTGTTAACTGCCACGTTCTGACCATCTTCAACTTCAGAATCATCGCTTGGAACAGGAGGTAGATCTTCATCTGCCGGCATCTCATTCTGCGGAATTGCAGTGGTGTTAGCATCATTGTTGTTGGTGTTGGGCTCATCATTGTCGGCAATCACTGTCTCGGCAGGAGTTGTTGGAGCATAGGAAAATGGAGAGTCAGGAGGTTGTTCAAGTTGATCGATTTGACGATCCATTTGCTCGATTGCGTCATGGAACTCATCAGCATCAGCTGGGCTATCCAAGATCTCAACATCAGGTTCCGTTGCAGCATCGTCAGCAATCGGTCCAGGAGATTCTGGTGGAGCTGGGTCATGCAGTTGAAGTTGATGTGGAGGAGTGCCATGTTTGCGCTGTTTGCGGTTGTCGTCCAAGTCAAAGTCAGCATCATCTTCATCCAACTCATCAATTGACCTCTTGTTAGTTTTGTGAAGGTCAATCAGGCGGACAACTCGTCGCTGTCGTACTTGGCGCATGGCATCCACAGGAGAAGACATTCGACCTTCAGCATCAACCAAACGTTTCACATGGTGTTTTCCAGCTCGAATCAGCACTGTTCCCTGAGCAAGCCAGTATGTGTCAACATTGCCAGTGTCGGGGTCAAGTTGAGCTGCGACCACAGCGGCAGGACCTTTCCACTTGATGGTGTGGAAGCGATCCGTTGACTCACGCCAGTAGAGGCATCTTTCGCCAGCGACCAGTTCTTCATCTTGGCCACGATACTGACGCAACAAGGCTCTTCGCAATCGGACGTCAACATCAGCTTTGGCACATGCTTGTTGGGCTTGAGATCGGCACTTAAGGATCTCCTGAAGGTGTTGACCTTCAGACAGCTGTGGAGGCTTCGTGCGCTCTTCAGACATCAGTCCAGGAACAGCAGGCTGTCGACCCATTGCAAGTTGTGTGGGTGTAAAGCCGTTCGCAAAGGTGTGCTCGTTGAGGGAAGGCACAACCCAGTTGAGAGCTTCATGCAGGGCATCCACTCCAGCGATCTCATTGTCATCCATGTAGATTTGAACAGCACGCCGTAGCAGTTGATGTCGTCTTTCAACAACGCTCGTTCTTGTATGAACTTGTCCAGGAGAAATCTTGAGCTCAATGTCATGGTTTTCTGCCCAGGTTGCAAATGCATCGGATCCCCATCCAGCATATTCATCAACTTTGAGTTGTTGCATCGGACCATGGAACCTAATCCAGGAACGTTCCAACGCTTTGATCAGTGAGGGGGACCTTTCATCGGACACAATGCGGGCAGCCATGTATCGAGTGCATTCATCAACCATTGAAAGAATTGCCACACGTTTCTTCTTGTCAAGTTCAATCCACATTACATCAGCTTGAACCACTTGGTTGAAGTTCTCAGCACGTTCAACTGAGGCAGGGGATACACCCTTCTTGATGCCGTAATTTTGGCAATGGGGACAGTGCAGAGGTTGGATTGCCTCTCTGACCTTCTCACTCACTTGCTTGCCTTCAAGCAACTTCAGCAGCACTTCTTTTCGAGGATGGCCCAAGTTTCTGTGAAGACGATGGGCAACTCGAGCTGCATGAGATCCATGCGCCGTAGCCAACTGTCTCAAAGTGCCAGTTTCAGCATCATCAACTGCATAGATCTGTTGAGTGAGATCCTCGTCATCCATGATGGCTTTCGCCAGATGTTTTGCCAAAACAACGCCATAGTTTTCAGCTTCGCGGCATCGTTGACCACCACCAGGCATGGAACCTTCTAGGGGGCAGTGGGTGTGATCACCTTGACATCGGCGGTTCATGAGCTTGTACATGGACATCTTGGTCGTTTGGATACGTGTGCATTTCTTGATTGGCTCCTGAAATCCATCATCATTGATTGTTGTAGCACCATACTCGCACTGATCAAACAAGGCAGCATAGCCAGGAAGAGTGGAAAAGGCTTTGGTCTTCCAGGCACGGCTTCTCTCAGGATGCTCAATGTGAGCGTGTCGACCTGCTCGTACCTGTTTCCAGTAGGCCTTGTGACACATGCACATGGACAAGTGGGTTCCATGGTCAATCTCGCGTCGTTCTTCCAAGTCAGCGGCATCAGCAGCACATTTGATGTTGATGTTTTGCATTGGTGACCACAACGTGCACTTTGGGGACATGAAAATTTCATCAGGCTCATCGGTGTCGATCTTGTGGAGAAATGCTCTGCGGTGTGTGCTGAGTGAAAAATCCCAGCCTTCATTCAAACCAAAACGTTCAACACGAGCACCAAGCTTTGAGACTTCGGTCGAAAGGCGACCTGCTCCAACGTAGACTTCCCAAACAACGGGTGTTTTGGCTCGAGATCCATCTCTGGCCATGTGAATCATACCTGAGACTTGGTTGTGCACTTCAGCGGCTTGTTGATTGCACATGTTCTCAAGTTTCTTCACCGTGCATTCAGGCAAGGAAATTGCTTCTGGGAAATCATCATCATCGGCTTGGAAACTTTCATCGCTCATGTTGGGTTCTTTGGCATTGGTTTGCATGAAGTTCTGCACCACTTCGGTCATTTGGGCATAGCGACTTTCAGCATGCATGTCTTTCAGAAAGCTAGCCATAGTTTCAACCTGATCGTGATCATCATCTTCACTGATGAGGTCGAACTGAACATCCATGAGTTCTGAGCCATGTTTGACTCCATCAGCCAGTTTCAAAAGCATTGCACCACCTTTTCCGCGGCGGATTTCTTGCCAGTCACCACCCAGTAGGCTCATCCTTTTACCACCAAAATCAACCACAGCATTCAGCATTTCCAGAATTGGGCGACCTAGCAGCATAGGAGTGGCACCGAAGATCACAAAACATTGAATGCGACCAACCTTGTCACCTAGCTTTGCAGGCAATTGCACCATCCAACGGCTGACACTTTCACCATCACCTCCAAACTTGAAGCTTTTGTCGCAACGTTTGAAGTGCAAGTGTTTCACATCCATTCCAATCAATTCCAGCCATTTCAGATACCTCAGCACGTATTCAGAACCAGCTAAAAATGTTGAAGCACCACCATCCTGTATGCAAGCATCAGGTTCTACGGTAACCCAACTATTGCTGTCGGAAATCACATGCTGAGCCATTCCAACGAAATTTGCACTGGAGTCAGCGGGACGCTTCTTGCTCGGTGAAGTGCTAGAGCTCTTGGTGGGGCAGTTGGCGGCCATGTGACCGAACATT